CAAAGGAAACCGAGCAAAATGGGATGGGCATAGGCGTTTCGCTTTCATGGTAGCTTTCTTAGGCCTCGTGGTGTTTCCCCGGAAAGATGGGAATATCGATCTACGGGTGGCTGGAGTCGTCAAAGTCTTGATTACCAACGCCAAGAGCACACATACCCCTATGATAATATCTGAGATATACCGAGCTCTCACAGCTTATAAAGCTGGGGCAGATTTCTTCGAGGGATACAATTTGCTATTACAGATGTGGATGATCGAACACCTGTGTCACCGCCCTCAGTATATGAGTTATGGGTCTGCAGAGAAAAGTTGCATTGAAGAGTTCTACACAAGGATTTCAGGGTTCAAGTTACCAGAAGGGTTTAGAGATTGGGTATCCTGCCTGCGCTCCATCACTGCGGGGCAAATAGAATGGACACTGGGTTGGCTTCCTGTTGAAGAAATTGTGTATATGCCCGCCACTGATCCTTACTTCCTCCTAATGGGTCTTCGAGGCATTCAGCCTTACACTCTATACCGGGTGATGAGATAGTTGGGAAGGTGTCAGGTGATGCACCTAGATGAAGATCTTAGTGTTTATGCAGTCGAGGTTAGCTCTGACGGCCAATTTCATGAAGAATTTTTTTTTCTATTTGGAACGAGTGCCAATATTTGATAGCGAACACTCGAGTGCGTGACATATCTAAAGGCGAGGTCTCACCCACCTATCTTGCCTAGTATAGAAAGAAGAACACCACAAGGGCTGAACCTAAAAGACAAGCCAAAAAGCCTCACATTCAGGAATTCGTTGAGGCGTCGCAAGAATAGTGGGCTTGGTTGGCCAAGGAGAATGAGTACGGGGACACAATAGGAAAGCTAGAAAAACAAGTCAGGGATCTTCAGTTTGATAATGGTTTGCAAACCGCGGTGGATGAAGGTGAAAAAAAAGCTAGCCCAAGAAAATGAGTCCCTTCGAGCCCAGATTCGAGAAATGAAAACAGCAGCCAAAAATCCCGCCAGGAGTGCAAAGGATGAAAAGCTTATTAAGAACCGTAGGCAGAAGGTGGATGAGTATGGTTTTGATTTGAACAAAGTAGAAGGTGAACTAGCTAGGGCTCGAACAAAATTGGCTAAGAATGCAGAAGAACGAGCGCGCCTATTTAAACAGTTAAAAGAGAAATACGACAATGAGGTTGTGGGGTTGAAGAAAAAGGTCATAACCATTGAGAACAAAATGATCAAGCAGGCGAAAGACTTTAAGGCTGAGAGAGAACACTGTTATATAGCAATGGCATAGTTAGAAAGAGATTTTCAACAACTTCAAGAATAGAATCAAGTAGCCGAACAAACTTTGGAAGCTAGGGCCCAGCAGATTGGGCGTTTGTTGCAAGAAAAGGATATCATAAGAGAGAGAGTCAGATGGATCGCCGACTACATCGCGATGAAGTGCAGTAGTTGTGAGGGCATGACTAGATCCATGTTCTTTGCCATTGTAATGACCTTTGTCCGCCGAATAATGGAAGATCTCTACCACCTCCAAGGGGATTTAGCGCATAGGCCCGTGGAGAGACCGAATGATGTCCCACGGGACCTAGGAGTAGTTGAGGCATTGATGTATTCGTGATTTTCATTGGAGTCTGCTAGTCTGTTTTCGAGTCTGTGTTTTCATCTTTCTATTAGAGTCTGTTAGTCTATTTTGAGTCCGTCGAAGTCTGTTAATTTCTCTTTTCGAGTCTATTGGTTGTTATAATTTGGTAGGATGAGTCGTTGTAATCAAACATTTTATGAAAATTTAAAAATCCCAAAATATTTTATTATTTATTTTTACATTTACCTCCAGAACTACGCTAGGGTTGATTCATGCGGGGTCATGATACTTAGGCAATCTCCATAGGATTCGACCATAACCAAAAGAAAGAAAAAAAAAAAGAGAAAAGAAAAGAAAAAGAGTGGAAAACATAGAAAAAGGGAGAGAAAGGAAAAGAGAAAGAAAATAAGAAACCGTGAGAAGGAAACAATGGCAAAATAAGAGAGAGAAATGAGAGAATAAAAACAAAGGGGATTTATCTACTCTAACAAGGACATTTTCAATTATTCCTTTCGGCCTTTTAGTACTTTGATCAGCTAATTGAAGAGACACTCCAGTACCTTTCATTTCACCAAGTTCTAATTTTCTGAAATTTGAAAAAGGCATTAGATTTATCGAAGCACCTGAATCACATAACGCCTTTTCAAAGTGAGCACCTTCCATGGTACAAGAAATTTTAAAACTTCCCGGATCACCAAGTTTCTGTGGAAGCTTATTTTGAAGTATAACACTATATTTTCTGTAAGCTTAACTACTGAAACTTCTTCCAATTTTCTTTTACTTGAAAAAATTTCTTTAAGAAATTTAGCATATGAAGGTATTTGTGTCAAAGCATCTGTGAAAGACATGTTAATGTACAGTTGCTTCAAAATATCTAGAAACTTTGAAAACTGTTTGTCAAGCTTTTCTCTTTTCATCTTTTGGGGAAAAAGGGAGAGGTACAAAGTGAGAATTTGTTATCAATTCATTTTCTTGTACATTTTTCCTTTTATCTTTTTGTTCTTTTGGAAACTTTGATTCTATTTTATTCTCACCTTCATTTACCTTTTCGACTTCTTGTAGCGTTCCTTCTCTATCTGCATGGATCATCAAGAGATTTACCTGATCGAAGAGAGATGGCTTTGAGGTGTTCTTTTGGGTTTTTCTCAGTGTTGCTTGGTAGAGCACCTTGAATTTGTCCAGACATGAGGGTCGCTAATTGGCTTACCTGCATTTCCAAATTCTTGATAGCTGAATGTTGACTTTCAACCTTCTCGTCAGTTGCCTTAATGAATTTGTACATCAGGTATTCAAGGCTTTGTTGATGAGCTCTTTGAGGCTGCTGCTGATATTGTTGAAAATTATGTTGCCTTTTATTTTGATTTTGAAAACCAGATGGTCCTTGTACATGTTGCATCTGATTAAAAGGATTACTCCACTGAAATCTTGGATGTTTTTGTACCATGGGACTACCAAATGAGTAATTATTTCTATAACCAATCACATTTACCTGTTCCTCATTTTGCGTTAAAGCTTGACATTCATGATTCGGGTGATTACCTTGACAAATATTACAATTCTCAAGTTGGGATGATGATTGAGCACTTACCTGAAAAGTTTCGACTTTTTGTGTTAAGGTTGCAATTTGTTGTGCTAATGAATTCAAAGCTTCAACTTGATTTACTCCTGCTGTTTTCTTGATAACAATTCTGTCAGAGGGCCATGGAACATCATTTACAAAAATTTCATTGAGCAATTTCATGGTTTCTGGAGTGGTTTTGCTCATTATGGATCCTCCTGATGCTGCATCAATAACATTTCTAGCAGAGGGTTAAAGACCATGATAAAAAAAATATAAGATATCAGGATCTTGGATACCGTGGTGTGGGAATTTTCTTAACATTGCTTTTAATCGTTCACATGCTTGGTATAAAGATTTAGAATCTGTCTGCATAAAATTATTGGTTTCTTGCTTCATTTTAAATGTTTTTGCACGTGAAAAATATCTATTAAGAAATTTCTGAGTGATTTGGTCCATGTAGTGATTGAACCTCTAGCAAACTTCGCAACCATATTTTGGCTTTACCTTTTAAAGAAAAAGGAAAAAGTCGCAACCTGATAATGTCTGTTGTGACTCCATTATACCTGCATGTTTCAACTAATTCAAGAAAATCAATTAGATAGTGAGGATCTTCACTCGCATCACCAGTAAATTGGCATGACATCTGAATAGTTTGAATCAAGCATGTGCGAATTTCAAAGTTATTTGCTGCATTTGGTGGTCTCTTTACACTTGATTCTCCTTCAAAATGATCTGGTCTTGCATAATCTCTTAGTATTCTATCACGTCGTGGTACCACTTCATCAAACTGTTCTTCTACTTGATGTGGGGGGAGTTGGTTGTTGTTGTTGTTAAGTTCTTCGTTCTCCATTTTTTCTTGTGAAGAAATTTGAGATCGCGAAACCTGTTCTTTTCGCAACAACCGCAAGGATTTTTCAAGTTCAGGATCGTATTCAACTAGTTCTCTCGAGGAGGAACGGGTCATACACTTTCTGAAATTTTTACATAAAAGTCAAAATAATTAAAATAAATCTCAAATTAGTAGTAAAACAATTAATTTGTAGTAGATTTTTCCAATCCCCGGCACCGGCGCCAAAAATTTGACGAGTGTGGTGTATTTGATTTAAACTCGTACTCTGTCAAATAGTAGTATAGAAAGATGTCGAACCCACAGAGATTGGTTTATCTATTCTACAAACGTTTCTTGTTTTAATTACTATTTGAGAAAATCAGAAAGAGTTGAGTTGTGAATTAACTAACTAAAAATGCACGAATAAACCAATAGAAAATATTTTGTTTTTCACAAATATAATAAAAAGGTGTTGGGATCCTGACTTCACTTAATATTTTTATTATATAGTAGATACATTTATCCTTCAACTTCTATTTCTCAGAAATGTATAAATGCCTCTCACGATTACATTTATATATTATTACTATAGTTGAACAACTAAATGCACTCCTCTCGGTTATACAAATTAATCGTTAAAATGGTAATATTAAAGAACCAGAAATATATACTTGAACTAAAACATGCTCTTTTTAGTAAGGCCCTTTCGTTTACTCTACTTGTTATAACTGATTACTACAATATTCACCTCTTTCGATTACAAATAAGTGTAGAATCAATTTTAACATATAAAAGCTAGATGTCACTAAATACAAGTTAACATCTATCAATACCAAAATTGATTATTGCTTCTTCTGCCTCTTTTGATTACAGAATTAGTGAGAAGTTAATATGTAGTACGAAATAGATAGATGTTAAAAAAATTAAATAACACCCAACTATAAAGCAGATAAAATTTAAATAAAAAGCTTTAGCTCAAGCATGTGAAATTAATGAATAATATCTACTATTATATAAAAATATTAAGATCCGTCATTTTCCCAACACAAGAAAAGTTACTCCATATTGGATCCAATACCTACAACGGAAATAATCTTGCCCATTAAATAAGAAAATAGAAAGAAATATTCAAGAGAATAATTCTCCCTATTTAATTAAAAACAGGAACTAGAGTAATTTCCAATACTACAATTTATTCGGAACTAGAAATGAAACCAGTGTAATGGCTAAAAGAAGAAATAGAAGCAAAACTAAAGAACAAAGAGAAAGAAAAAAACTTTCTGCTCAATATTACACTTCTCCCCTTTCTTCTTCGCTCCTTCACGGACAATGCCTCTTTATAGGCAAGCCATGACAAGGTTTTAAATTATCTTCTGGATATGAACTTGTCAAGGCTGGTTGTGGCCTTGGTTATTAGCTTTTTTGGTTATGGATCGGTTATAGTTTGTTGTAGCCGGTTGTGAGCCGGTTATCCTTTGTCATGGTAGATCATATTTATACAATCTTTCTCTGGATAATTCAGTACTTGAACTTTTCTTGTCTGATATCTCCTTCATTGATGAACTATGAATTTTCTTATTAAATTATGATATTTCCTGCAAAGAAAATTAAAATATTAGTATCTAAAAATTAAATAACAACTTAATTTATACATCAAATTTTATTTAATCAGATATCTGCAATTGACACTATCTCTTCCTCAAAAGGAAGAAATAAAAGAGAGCATGTTGGACTTGTACTTTTTATTGTGTATGCAATAAGCATTTGCTCATTTCCTCTGGCCCTTCAAATATGTTGACATCTCAACATTAGTTCTTTTATATGTTACGCATATGCATGATCAAAAAATTTATTCATAGAGAAGCATATCTGCAATACTATGTTCTCGGCGCATTTGCATGCGGGCATGAAGGATTGATTTCGATTGTTGTACTGAATCTGTTAGTCAATCCTCTGTGTGTTGTGCTGAATCTGTTGGTCAATCCTGCATGTATTTGAATGTTCAGTTTCAATTTGATCGTATGCTATACGAAAGGGTAAAATATAGCCATGCGTATACGACTTTGGTCTTCCAATTTTTCTAGCAAGAATAACTGGGTACTCTTTAAGTTGTTTGAATAGTTTGTTTCCATCATGATCAATAAAATCTTCCCAAAGTGTGAATTTGGTTGGTTTTTTCCGGTATAAAATGGTAACAAAATGTTTAATACCTATATTAAATCATCACGGGAATCGTAATGCTTGAGCAGTACAAATCATGAGTAACAATTCGAACATTAAAGGGCTAGAGATGATTAAAAGAAATGAACACATATAGTTTTTTAATGTGTAGCAATTTCGATAATATGAAACAAAAAACTAAGGCTAAACTAAGAAAACTGACCATAAAAAAAAAGATATAGCTACATTGCCGGAGTTTATACACAAAGTGTAGCAGAATGTTTTCAATTCATTACTCATATGTTGCAGAGAATGTTTTCAGTTCATCACTCAGATAACGGAACGTTTTCAGTTGTACAGATTTACTATTTTCCTTTCACTACAAAGGTTTAAGTTTGAATAATATTCTAATGCCAAATTGATATGTTGCAGAGAATGTGTACCACAAACAATATTGCCAGGAGAACATAAAAGGCAAAAGAATGAAGAAGTCGGACCTTGTTCATTCCCGATACTCTTTCGCAAATTCTTGATCAGTCACATGAAAAAAGGATATTAATTCTTTTCTGCCAGAAAGGACCAACTTAAAAAAAGGAGGAAAAAAAGGTCGATGCAATAAATGCTTAAAGACCTTTGAAACTCTTTTGTGTTTTCACTATTTCTGTCCAAATAAAATAATCAAACCAAACTGTGAAGTGGAATGGGGAATAAACCTTTAATCCAGTGAAAATAAAAGTTTCTGGCACTACAAACTTACTGATCATCCATGATGATAAAATCTTGAATTCTCTTCCCGTTTGAAGTATATGTTGAAGAGCTGCCGTTGAGGACAGTAGCAAGGACATCTTGCATTTTAAAATAACAGTGAATAAGTTAAGAGATAACAAATATTACTACATCTAATAATATTAATAATAAATGAATTTTAGATGGAGAAACAATATAGATAGTTAAATGTTCAATTACCAAATTCAGATCCCTCAGGTTGATACTCGAAGTTGTCAAATGGTGTAAGATTTAGCCGCGTTGGCGGGGGCAGTGGATCTTCTGAAGGATTGATAGTTTCCACGGGCTCAACAATCGTGCTCCTATCAATTGTCCAAGTAAATTTGTTAACTAGATTTCCATACATATAATTTGATTCTTTGACTTGTGCAACTGACACCAAGTAAGTGTGGAAAGGACGAAATAAATCTTCAAAATGCGCTATCTCAGCATTGAATATAATGCATTCGACTTGGTTTTCCTATAACAAAATAAGACACAATTAGGATACCCAAATATGCGTTAGTTAACTTTTTCTAGTACTTACTGTTTTCTTGTAACTTGTTAAGCAAATATATAAGCAGCAATAATATTAGTTCATTTACTATTGGCAGAGTTATGAGTCACAAAAGAGCACCTCTTCGTCCTGCAGAATCATTAGTTGATACTTAGTTGATACTTTTTTGTTTTCTCTCTGTTGTCTCTAGGTCTGCCTTTATCAACTACTTAAATTTGTAGGTCCATTCTTCTAATTCTGGAGTAATTGCATTGATGTTAAGTCTTTCTGCCATCTGGATAAAATCTGCAAGCAAACCACGTCATAATATAACAGTGAGCATATGTAACGTTGGCAAGTGAGCGTATGTAACATCGGCAGAATAGATATAATACAAAATGGAAGAGTACATCGAATGATCAAGTTGTACGCCGGACTTACTGTTGGGAATGATGATTTAAGTTAGAGAAAGAGCTTTTTCGATAATTTCATCATAAGACTACATTATATGTGGAATGGTCATCATCGTCACCGGCTGTAGGTGGTCTAATTAATACCTTGACACAGTTAAAACCTTTAGCTCTCGATAAAGCAACGTACAGTTGACCATGAGAAAATACAGGTTCTCGCAAATAAATGCCAACAAAGTCTAAAGTTTGGCCTTGAGCTTTATTTATAGTCATGGCGAAACATAACCGTACTTGAAATTGTGTTCGTTTAAATTGAAGAGGTAGTTTTTCATCTTCGAATGTTAATAGTGGTATTCGAGGAATGAATACATGTGTATTTTAAAATCACCACTGGATATTGTAGCACTGATAACATGATATTTGAAATCATTACATATTAATCGCGTGTCATTGCATAAACCTTCGCAAGGATTCAAATTTCTTAATAATATGATTGGACAGTTTTTTTTAGGGACAATTTATAAGGAGGTAAACCAGGAGGATTTAGAGTGTACAAAAAGTCTTCGTACTTACTTTAATCTTTTGGATCAATTGTTTCATCAGTAGCCAAATATACTTTTTCATTAGTTGGGAATTGAGCAATTAGCAAATCATTTATTTCATCAACAAAGTCGTTCTTTGTAGTTAGAATTGCATGAGAAGTGATAAAGGAAATATTTGAATGAGTTGAATATAAATCAAGATAACTTTAAATAGATTATTCAAGGAATCTTTTTCAGTTGTGAAGGTATAATCAGAGGACGGGGAATTTCAACTTTTCTCTTATCATTCTTTCCTTCTTTTCCATTGCTGATTCTCATAAAATATTCATAAAAAGCTGGGTCAGTTTTTGAACGCTTATTTTCAGACAATTGTAGTTTTTCAAGTTGATGCCAAATTTCAGAACATAGTAAGCTTTCGCGAACAAAATCTTCCTTTTTTCAACACGAACGACGGGAAGAGTTTGTCTAAAATCACCACTAAATACAACAACCTTTCCACCGAATAGCATATTTGTTTCCATTAAATCTCTCAGAAGCAAATCTAGTGCTTCAATCATTTCCTTTTTTGCCATAGAAATTTCATCCTATACTATTAGTTTCGCATCACGAATCAATGATGCTAGTGAACTTTGTTTACTAATATTGCAACTAAAATTCCCATCAACATCAATAGGTATTTTAAATCGAGAATGAGCAGTTCGACCTCCAGGAAGAAGTGAAGAAGCAATGCCTGAACTTGCAGCCGCTAAAGCTATAATCCTCTATGTCTCACAGTAGCTAATAAGGCACGATATAAAAAGCTTTTTCCAGTTCCGCCCGGACCATCAATGAAGAATGCTCCGGGTTTAGTTGAAAATATTCTATCAAGGATTATATTGTAAGCTTTTTTTTGTTCAATGTTTAATTTATATGGCAATAATAGATCTTGTTCATTGACGGTAATATTTCTTTCAAAATGTACATCTTTAGCCTCTTTGGCTACTACAGATGGTTGAATTTTGTCTTTAGTCAGTTCAAATTCGTTGATATCACGACCCATTTAATGAAGAATATCATTAATATAGCTTAACACTTTATAACGAATTTCTCTTGTATGCATGTTCGGGTATTTTTTGAAATCTTCAGACATTGGACTTTCAAATTTTTCCCACAACACTCTTGGGTTAGCGGGATTGCAATAAACTAACAATACAACAAATAAGTGTCTTAAACTGGATGACATTTGGTAACTTACTGCTTCGGACATGCATTCTATTAAATTATTATCACAAAGTAATAGTCCTCTTTTTTCTGCAGCTTCTCTAAATGTGTCACAAGTTACTCCGTTTATAGTTCGTAAATCTTCATACGATTTTAGTCCTCTTACATTCATTAAGAGCAATCTAAGATAGTATTTTTCTCCTTTGGTTGGATGACATGTTACAACTCGGCCAATAGCATATCTTTGTTGGCACGCGACCACATTTTGTACGTTGTTGACCATACAAAGTATTCTAAAAATTCTCGATATAATAAATTCATATTCATAGCATCTTTGTTTTCTCTATTCATTGTAAAAAATTCAGTTAACATTATTTTTTTAATCATAGGATTATTTACAATTCTGGTAATACTCTCGGTGCTTTTGAAGGAAACAATTTGGTGGCCATTAAGATGGAGCTGAAGATGGTATACAATTGGATTCATTTCACTGATAGGAAAAGCAAATATACGTCATGCTGCCTCTGGTGGTGTTACCCATCTAGCAGATTGGTATTCCTTTATTTCATCTATTTCTATATTCGTATCATTTGGGTGTATGTGGAATGCAATTTTATCATGCCCTTTGCAAATATATTTATAAATGTACTTAACAACTTTAATATCAGAGAAAATCTCCACATTCATATGACAATTAAATTTACAAAGTAAGAATGGATTGTAAGGAACAACTCATGAGTTATCAAAAAGTTATCCTCTAATTTCTACAATCTTTCCTGTATTTCGTCTTCTATAAATAGGATATGAATTTTTTCCTTTAGTTTTCTGTTCAGCAAACTCCTTTGGATATTTGAATGTACATTGACTCGTTTTTTTCTTCATACAGGGGCTTGTCGGATTTAATTGCCCGCAAGGACCATGCAGCATGTGTTGTGTAACAAGCTTAAATAAATCGGGATTTCTTTTCGGATCTGGCAATTCAGCACATACAAATTGGTCATATGCCTCAGGAGTTAATAGTTTGTATTTTTCATCTAGTATGATAAGGAAATGAGCATGCGGAAGTCCTCGTTTTTGGAATTCTACCGTATACATAAATGCTGCAACTTTACCAAATATTTGTCTTTTTAGTATATCTTTTTTTAGCTCTTCTAATTTTTTCCGAAATATTCGACTAACTAAATCAGGTCTATTTTGGACTTCAACTGTCGATATTAAGTTTTCTTCAATTTCTGGCCAAGAAGGGTTACATGTCATAGTTAGAAATATATCGGGTTTTCCAAAACGTTGTACTAATGCTATAGCATCCATGTATCCGCGGCGCATATCTCTTGGACCTCCTGTGAAGCTAAGTGGAGGTATTCTGTTCTTGCCTACATGTGAACCTTCTCTCTCACCACGACGTAAAAGATCTAAAAGTCCCGCTAACACATCCATTCTAAATAAATCTTGATTGAAAGAAGCGAAATCTAATCTTTGAGTTTCAACTTTTATCCATTCGTCTACAACATATTACTGAAATAATCTTCCTGCGTGTAAGATTATATTTTCATCATCTCTTATTTAGAGTTGGTAGCAAACAAGAAACAATTTCTCTTTTTCGTTTGCCTTTTTGCATCACTTCAGCTTCCATATCAAGGAATCCATCAATTGAAGTCATATTTGTTACATTTGGCAATTGTTTGTATTTACAATACATTTGTGTTCTAGAAGGAGTTGTTGGAGGTTTAAGTTTTTTAATACCACAATGCCAACCATTTTGTCCGTACGGGAACAATAATAGATATTGCAATGGGTCATAACAGCCGTAATAATAATTTATCAGCTGGCTTCCATCGCTTTTTGTATAAATTCGAATATGTGGAGTAGGGATACAATTATTGGTATCTTGTTCTACGCATATCCCTGCCACTTCTGATGTAGTTAGGAGGTTGTATATCCGTTGATCTAAACCAGCGTCACACTTAAGCGCAATATAAAAATTTGATAATTGTGGGATATTTATTAAGGATTTTAAAAATATAGAGTAAGGATTGATTTCTAATATTTCCATCAAACTTTTCACAGTACACTTGTTCAATTTATCGGAACATGCCATTCGATTTCTCATTTCATTTTCACTATCAAAGAAATATAATTGTAGATTTCTTCCCTTTTCATTACTTGGTATCAAGTCATTTATGAAATGATACATCTGTCCTTGAACTCGAAATGTGTAAATACCTTTGTTTCTCTTCGCCAATTCTCTGTCGTAGGTTACTCCCAATGATGTGAATGCAAATATATTACTGTATGCTCTTATGTAGGTTCGGAAATGCTTTGATTCCTCAGTATTTCCTAGATATAGATTTCTCAACTCTGTTGGTACTTGGTGTGAACTTAGCTTAACAGTGCCATTGCGACAGCAGAATGCGGGCGGCTCGTATTCAATTTTTTTGGCTCCGCAAAATTTACATTTGGGAACTGTCTTTAACATAATGTATTGAGGTGACACTTGCGTTGTTACTGATACTTTGTTATATTGTTCATGATTTGTATTAGATGTTGATCCTGGCATATAATAACAACAGGTGTAAGTATATCATTTTGATGGTAATCAATACACACATGTATTTCTAATTACATACCACCAAGAAATGATAATCTAGCTATCTAACCTGTTTCGTATAGAGTTGAATATCCCATGAAAGGAGCACACTGCTCGCTTGAACTATTAGCACTCATAGAGGATGATGGGTTAGCAGAACTATTAATAAGTGAGGAGGCAGCATGTTGCCGCCTGCTTGTTTGAGCTTTGTTTGCTCGCACTCGTGCTAGGAGGACCTCTTTTTTATCGGATTGCATCATTCTATACAGTTTGCGTCGCCTAGCCTTCTTGTCGGCATAGATTTTTTCGAAGTTTTCATTTTTATGACTTTTATTCGGCATTTCAGTCGGCGACTATTCCCTGAATGTGAATATATGTTCAACATGGCTAATATGTATATATTATAGTAATATTTTCAAAGAACCTAGGCAAAAACTCACAATACCTATATGTAATTGATGAGAGATCGACCTTTCGGTTGGAACACTATTGGATAACAGAAGTACACCACAACCACACAATGGAACGCAATAACAGAAAGAATAAATTGACATGGTGAAAGGTCAAAAAGCAAAGAGCAAATGGAAAAGGGAAAAAAGCAATCACTCAAAGACTCACTTCTTTACCAGAAATGAACCAAAAGATGTCAATCTAAAAAACTGTAGTAAAAAGTGAGGTTATAAATGAGAGAAAGGGATCACTCATTCAATTGCAAAATGGCTACGACAAACTTGGCTCATCAATTGCTCGGAGAAGGGGATCTTTTGAAAATTGATCCTAATGGTGTTTATTTATCGTCCACCCACAATCAGCATGCTTAAGAGGAGCTACTAAATATATGCTACTAAAAAATTAGAATGACCAGAAACAAAATTTTTACCAAAGGGATTCAAAATAAACAAAAAAGCACTCCTCCCTCGAAAAAGTGCTGAAATTCATTTCTATTATGCTGCTTCTTGGCCTTCACTTGGTTTCCGTCTATATTTTTTCCATTTAGTTACTATTCGTCTGTGTTTCTCTCAAAATCTGAATGTAAAATTGCAACAGAACCAATGAATACCTAAAATTTTCTTTCTTTTAATCAACCCATGAACAAATACCTAAAATTTTCTTTCTTTTAATTAGGCTTAATACCTAAACGTGCATGTGGGTTAAAACTAATTGGAAGAGCAGAAGAAGGAGAAACAAATACAGAAGTACAAAATTGAAGTTGAAGAGGGCACACAAGAAGTATGAATAGAACCGGTGAAACTTGAGCAAGATCTATAAAACTATACCCAAAAATTTCTTCCTTCAATTTAGGTTTAATACCCATACTAATATCATCAATGGACTGGGAATCTCAACCAAAAAAGTTGCATGTTGGCTGAAACTAATTAAAAAGGCAAAAGAAGGAGAAACAAATACAAAGACAAAACCACAAAATTGAAGTTGAAGAGGAAAGGATTGTTTTTTTATATCAGATGTGTAGCAAAAATTATGGGTAAAATTGATTAAAATCGTACCTGGATGTAGAAGAAATTCGAGGAAGAGGAAGAGAATCGAGAAGTTCAGAAGCTGAAATTTTTACAACCTTACGCATATTTTATGCAATTGGAGAAAACCTAATATGCTCCTGTAAATCATACACGTAGTGGTTGTGCAGAAACATTAAGACACGTACATTATGTATTTGTAGCATTGGTGTGAAATGACATAAACGCCCCCGAGCTTTTCCAAAAAAGACTCCTAAGCACTCACGTCGAAACCACGTGCTCTTCTATAATATAGTAAAATATCATTGTCATTAATTATTTTTATTTAAAATTCAAAATTAAGTGAAAGTTTTGTTATAATAGGAACTCTTAATATTTAGAATTCAAAATTGAATAATATTTAAATCATATTTATTATTATTATTATTTCCTTGAATTGCATAAAATAATTATAACTCCTTAGTTTAATAAATGTTAAAAGAAGAAAAATCGAAAATTTAATTTCAAATTCCTATTTATCACGATCTAATAACAACTAAATAATGTATATGGACAAACAAAGTTACACCGATTGTGACAATTTTGTTTTGAATTAAGGTTTAATCAAAATATCAAGGTATATTTTCTTCTACTTCTAATGATAAGTTCAAATAAAATTACTATATTGTCAATTCAAACGAGAGAAATGAGTTTGAATATAATGATAAACAAGTAAACAAAAAACGATAAAGTCCACAAAGAATAAGTAAGAACTATTTGTTATTAAAATTGATAATATCAGTCCGTGCTCCTTCTATATTCAATGATATTTTAGGTTCGCAAATTTTGTGTCTTTTGCTTTGTAAATATATACGACTTTTAAATCTCTAAATGTTATTAACACTGGTGCTAAAAATATTTCAAAATTCATAATCATATTAGTTAATAACCAAAAACACAAAAGGGATATTGCATTTTGTAAAGAAAAAAACAACACTGTTTTTGAAACCTTGATTTGAAGAAATACTTGAGGGAAAAAGTATGTGTTGTATATTAAGATAAAGCAAGGAAAATATATGATTATATTCTGACAAATAACATTTGTATATGATTATATAACAATTAACGATTGAAAAATCTAATTTTTAGAAGTTGGATTTTCAATTATTCTTCACTTTCACGCGCCTAAAGGAGAGAGTATATATCCACGCTCTTTAACACATCGACGTCCAGAGTATATCAATTATCAATAGCCAACTTCAGAGGGTAGCTAAGACTACAAATTATTTAGGAATTGTTTTTTAACATACTCTCCATATTTTTTGCTAAGCGGCATAGTCCTTTTAGAATCCATTAATAATAAGTAACTTCATTACAATCTTAACCTCTTACTTCTATATATACACACACACGGTTATGTGCCTGTATAGAAAAAGAAAGCTCCCCCCAAAACGGAAAAGAGTTAATAAAATATATAGCGATTGAATAATACCTTTTGCGATAATAATTTAATATTTTCTATGATTTAATTTTATAACTCAAACACAAATTTAATATAATATTTATATAATTTTATAATTTTATATTCATTGAGATAAGGTACACGCACAATGCGTGTATCCTAAAACTAGTTCAAATAATAACTACGAATAAGCCACCTTAAAATGAAAAAGTTGTAACATTAATTTTAAATAAATTACGTGCTACCTATAATAGGTCAAGGTGATTTGATAATGTAAAGTTTATATTACACTACTTGTGTATATAACTTAAACTCCATTTAAAAAATCAAATTCAAATGTGACTAAGTTCTAGAACTAAAAATTTAGAGCATACTATTCATTTAATATAAAACAAAATATTATTTAAGCCCGCCGAAAGTATACATTTTTGGCTATTGTGATCATTTGGTGATCATGGGAATAGTGTTAGTAATTTGTATGCGACAAAATAAAGTTGTATGATTTTAGTGTAAAATACATATAAATATATAACTAACTGTGAAATTTGACCCCTAACTATTAGACTTCAATCTAGCCTAGATATTAAAGACCCTTGGTTGCCAAATTCCACCAACTCTTTTCCCTGAAAGACTTCAATACGCGGAAATAATGCTAGAAGTTGTTCTAGTTTTCATTTTTTTCCTAAATCTCCTCTTTGAAATTATCAGTAATGGTGAAGACAAAAGTGAAATACCTCATTAGAAAGTTTACTATAAAATATTTTCCTCCTAAATCTGTTTAATACTTCTTATATATTTGAAGTGTGATAGCTTGAGTCGTATATCTTTATTAGATGTTCTAGATGTATCATGGTCAGGCAATGGCTTTCTGTTGATCGGTGTGATTTGGAGGATTTCTCTTTATGGTGAAAATAAAATTGCTCGGTTCACTAGTTAATAAACTTTCAAATTATTGTGCACTTGATTTGGCTATTAAGTACGATTAAAAAATATTGGCTACCACTAGCTAATTTCGTAACGTAGTTTCCAACCCCTAAAATATGTTTCTTAACAAATCAAGTTTATTTCAATTAAACTATCAAGATGGTGGAAAAAAATACTTATAAAAATAATGAGAGATTCAATCATCTAAGAATCAAGATTTTTCAATCGTCTGTACATAAATGCAACATATTTTTGTTTTAAAAGTACCTGATCACATTATGCCTATGCCTTCAAGACCGTTCACTAGGAGTCAAGCCAAAGACCTTCAAATTATTGGGATGCATTTAATGAAATTGAAGATTTAGATGAGCCTAATAGAGTCTACAATTTCATTCAAGTGATATTCAAGGATGAAGAGGCTCAATTTCATGTGAAGAGGCCCAATTACAAGTGGAGAGCCCAAACATCTAAGGGTCTTTTTAATCATTATTTAGACCTTAGTATAAATAGAAAATATTACGTCACCTTTCATTTCCTTGATTATATTGAATATTGCTATGTATTTTGTGAGCTTGAAGGTAGACTTGTGATTGCCTTTGAACTAGCCCTAGAATTTGCAAGAGCTTCCTCTTGAGGTTCTATTAGTGTAGGTGCTTTTGTTGATTGTATTAGGGGTGATTAAGATTTAATTCTAGTTATTACTAATATCTCATCAATATTTGTGTTTTGCTTCCCTCTTTTTTTTATTTGCTTTTCAAGTCCCACTTCTTGTTTTTGCATTTTGATTGTTATCATTTGGTATCAAGAGCTTTGGGTAATTGAGTATTCTAATACTCAATTTTTTCTCTGATTTTGAACCATCAAAAAAAAAAGAAGGAAAAAAAAATAGAAAAAAAGAAAAGGAAAAACGTTCCCAAGAAGAAAACAAAGAAAGAGCTCCATTTGTTTGGTCTATTAGTTCACTGTCCACAGTTTCAAATTGAATACCTTTGGATGCTAAGATTGCTTGTTATTGGATGAAATTATTGATGGAAATTATTTCTAAGTTATTCTTTTTAATTGAAAATTGAGCTACCATTTGTTTGACAAAGAAAGTTGCAGCTGGGAAGAAGTAAGAACAGTGAACAGTGTAAAGAAAATTATTGCAACCTTGAACTTGAATCTCTTTCATCATTTCTACTTCTGTTTTAACCTCTTTGATTAGATAACATTAATATTAGTTCATATTAATAGTTAATCTAATTCTGTGTTCGTTTACTTAATTCGTGCTAATTTCTTTGTGTTTTTCTCTCTTATTCGTTGTGAATTTTTTGGGCTCAAGTCTGAATTTTCTTAAAATCCCGAAGACGGAAAGGACTTGTTGTAAAGTCCTGGGTACTAGTTTGGAGGCGACATTGAGTTTTACCTTTTGAGTGGAAAAAGGCTAGAGCGGTTGAAATTAAAAGAGGGAATTAAAAGTCAATTTTCAAGAGTGAAACACGAGTGATTGAGTGTCATATAACTTGAGTGATTGAGTGATATATAACTTGAGTGTATACACTAAGGGAGCGACTTGGTGAAGACGTTTATCACTAACTTGTTTGTTCATTTTGTAAGAAAGTTCAATATGGGTGAGGGATTTACCAACAACATCAAAAAAAATGTTTGAGACCATGATGAAGAGATTTGATATGATTGATGGAAGGTTCACAAACACGGAGAATAGGATGCAAGTTCAAGAGGAAAAAGTGAACTACTTGGTGAGTGGAACTCTTCCACATCAACGAGGTGTTGGAACTAGTGCTTCCCATCAACTCCTTCTACTCATTTGGATCCTAATCTAATGCAACAAGGGATCCATGCTCAAGCCACTTATGCCCAAAGAGGGATTCCATTCCCTGAAAATCAACTCCAATGGCAAAAAAGGAGGGTCAATCCATAAAATTGCCAACCACCACAAGAAGAGCACATCAATCTTGAAGAAGAAGAAGATCATGTTCAAAATACAATGAGGCAACAAGCTTGGCAAGGTTATCAATAACCAAGATACAACCATGATGAGCGTGAAAGAGGGTTGAACACCATCAAGATCACCCTTCCACCATTCAAAGGAAGTCATTGTTGGGGGTTTTAACCATTAATGAGGCTTAAAAGAGGGTGAATGGGAAATAGAGGGAAATGAATTTTTAAGTGAAATTTTAAGTTTCCCCCTTGAAGAAGGAAAAATGTCCCATATTGGAAGAGGAAAAAGGTTTTTTATAGGTATATAAGCAATTGCTCTTCTTCTAGCTCTTAAAGAGTTGAGAAGAAGGCAAGCTTCGCGTCGTCGTCGTCGCTTGCTCGGCTCGGCTTCGGCTTCGGTTTCAGATTCGGATATGGTCAAATGATTGATTGATTAATTTTTTGGACGAAATTTATTTGTTAATAGTAAAATATTAACAGAAATGTTATTAAATATTTGTTTCAATAACAGAATATTAAAATAAATATTAATATTAAATCCTCCAATCCGTTTTTCAGGTGTGTAACTTTTTTTTTTTGGCAATCCGCTAGGCAAGTGCCTAGGGCTAGTTTTTTTATTAATAGAAGAAAAGAAAAATACAACAATTAGGAAAAGTACAAATAAGGGAGACAATAACATCGGTATTGTTACCCATATGCCTTGGCTATATAATCACTCCTCCGCGCCTCACATTGCCTATGGCAGCCTCATGTAGAGGATTCATGGTGTAGCTGCCTGCAAAGTTTCACGAGGGCATATAATCTTATAGCCGTGTGGATAATTTCCAAAGG